TAGCAACGACCTGCAATAGCAACATTGGCTCGCTAATACGAAATTAACCAACGGAAAGAACTCGACGGTTAAACCAACTACAGTTACACATAGACCCTTCAAAAAGTTTCGCCCCCTCCCCCCCCCGTGAAAAAATTTTCGACCATAAAAACAATTGATATACATTGTCCGTCAATTTTACAGCACCCCTGAGAACACTTCTCGCCCCCCCCCCCCGGTTGCTCTGAGCTAGTTACGGCCCTGGTGACACAGGCACAATCCTTACCATGGTATGATACAACGAATATTTAATCACTAAAGGAAATTTAAATGATTCCAAACAGTTATAAAATTTCATTGAACAAAAGATCTTCACGAAATCTTTTATTTAAATGCGGAAAAAATCCCTTAATCTATTAAAAATTTATATGTTCTTATATTTAGCGAACTTGGTTCTCAATGCGAGTGCAACACCGTCTGGTGTCAATATTTACAGTGTGACAGTTACGGACCCTGAGAATGACGTCATAACATATAGTATGACGACAGAGCCACATGTCAACTATTTTAGCTTAGATAAAAGTAAGTGATTTTCATTTCAGCAATTGCCTAGTTATTGTATTGTAAGGAGACTCGATGGTTGGTTAACTGGTGACTTGCACTGCACTCGCGGCTACGTTCGGCCAGTAAGCCAAATGTGACAACACTCACTCCCCGCAACCCAAAACCTGCTCGTCAGATCACGAGGTCTGTGATAATGTCATTGAGTTAAATGTCATGGTTTCATTCTCATCTTTGTGTGTGACAAGGACTTGGGTCACCTCCCCAACTTGGTAGCCCCCCCCCCTCTCCCCACACCCACACTGCTAAAGATCCCCTAGTTTGTGTTGAACGGGTGTTACCATCTATCTCCCTCCTCTTCCTACAGATAATGGAGTGTTGAAGACAGTGGTTGATTTAAGAACATCAATAGAATCTATCGTTTCAGTAAAAGTCAATGTATCGGATGGTAAAAATATCGTCGGTCCTTTTACCATTCGCATAGAGATGACCGGTGAGTAGCGCTACGTTCTTTCATTGTTTCCATGGACATGGCTGGTGGGTAACGCTGCGTTCTTTCATTGTTCCCATGGAGATGGCTGGTAAGTAAGAGTATGTTCTTTCATTGTTGCCATGGAGATGGCTGGTAAGTAAGAGTACGTTCTTTCAATGTTTCCATGGAGATGACTGGTGAGTAAAGCACCGTTCTTCCATTGTTGCCATGGAGATGACTGGTGGATAATCGTACGTTCTTTTATTGTTCCCATGGAGATGACTGGTGGGTAAAGCAGCGTTCTTCCATTATTGCCATGGAGATGACTGGTGAGTACAGCAGCGTTTTCTTCCATTGTTCCCAATGGTGGGTAATCGTACATTCTTGCGTTGTTCCCATGGAGATGATGGATGAATAACAGTGCATTCTTTTATTTTTCACACAGAGATGTCATGTTGGTAACGCTGGTAAATAATGCCTTTTTGACGTTAATAACCAGTTGTCGATTTGAAATGGGGCGGAGTCAGCCTAAATAATATGTCCTCCACAAAGTCAACATTTTGGTGGTCAAATCAAGTTTGAAGAAGAGGTCGGATACTAAACCGCAAGGGCAAATTCCTTATATTCAATTTTAAATATGTAGTTACATTCAAGATATTTAATCACATTGATGATGGCAAGTTTCTCTAAAAAATTTCTGTTGGATAATGCACGATTTAGTGCTGATCATGCAAGGCCCTCTTTTCCGATTGTCAATTATACATGTTGATAAATGCAACAGAATTTATTTCTAAGATTAGAAATACATCGTCTTTAATTCCTACATAAATACTAGGCCTGTTATCATGTTATCACCACAGACGATGTCCTGGATTGTAAACATTTTGAATAATCAAGTTTAAGACAATAGTTATATTTTATGTATAGATTTAAATGGACGGCCATATTTCACCAACTTGCCAACCACCTTGTACATTCATGAAGACGCTGCAGCGGGTACAACAATAATAACCTTGACCTTTAATGACGACATAGAACATACTCTCCAACCCACATGTACAGTTGATCCTATATCAGAGAGTTTTAAATTTGATTATGAGAAGGGTAGTAAGTATATTTAGGGTTAAAACTATTTGATAAGGCCAACTTCAAGTTTGCTCAAAGATAAGTGATGTAAACAGGGCTAGCGCTAATCCCAACCCTAACCCTGGACCTAGCCCTAATGCTTATCCTAACCCTAACCTATAATCTCGCCAACAACCACGTGCTCTAACCTTTACATCTCAGCGACCTTGACGAAACTTGAGCTGGCCTTAACAAATAGATTTAGTGTGTTCTGGTTTATTATCCATCTTGGCCCGACTTTTCACCTGTGCGCGCATCTCATTACTATAAGAAAGTGCACTCCAAGACAAGAAAAATTGAAGTTGGAGAATTCTGCCTAGGCAGTGGCATTTTTTCGAACACGTTTATTATTTCACGTCAATAAACAAATTACGTCGTGTGTCATTTAACGCCAGGGGACACATCAAGGCTAGATGTTGTAGAGAGAGGGAGAGAAATGGGGTTTAACCTCCACTCGACACAAACTAGGTCATTTCGGGACTAACATAATAATGGTTTATTTTTATTTCAATAATTCGCTGGCGCATAGGGGTCTTTAACAGTGGGAGGAAACCAGAGGACCCGGAGAAAACCCACGAGGTTGGACAGGCGACCCTACTCCTTGTCACGTACAACCGGGGATTCGAAACCACGCCAGTCGACTCAATGACAGCTTTAGGAACATGGGTGGCACTGGGAAACAAGACGGGGAAATCCCGATAAACCTTCTTGCCCAACAATCGAAACATGATTAGCGAGTCAGCGTCTTATTTGCAGAGTCAGCGTATTATTTGCTGATTCAGCGTCTTGGTTGCTGAATCGGCGTTTTTCTTGCGGAGTCAGCGTCTTAGTTGCTGAGTCAGCGTTTTAATTGCTGAACCAGCGTTTTACTTGCTGAGTCTGCGATTTATTTTCTGAGTCTGCGATTTATTTTCTGGGCCACCGAAGTGGGAATTAATGTAAGCGATCGTAATTTATCTGTTCTTAGCAGGTTAAGTATCGAATGATCCAGAAATCCATATTCAGGCAACTTTCTAATCGTATTTTATATATTATTATATTATAAAATCATTTCAGGTCGCCACCTACGGTTAAGCAACACAGGAACTGGTCATAGTGTTCTAGACTACGAGGGTACCAGACTGTATAATATAACATGTCTGGTTAATGATGGCTATCTCGGGTCTATAGACGGGAACATCATACTGCATGTCGTCAATGTCAATGAAGCACCTGAATTTAACTCGGATATATATTACTGTAATCTGTACGAATCTAATGTAAGTCTAAATCATCAACTTGGTTAAAGGACAATATTGGTGTCAGCCATTATCACATATATTACAGAACTGGTTAAATGCGTTCCAAATATAATTTTATCACAGAGATCATTGCTACAATAGATGCGTAATCAATAGAAAAACACGAGTTATCCTTCTATATAACTGACTGAACTAATGAGCGATAACAGGTACACGGGCGAATTTCTGGTCAATCATAATTCCTTCTAACAGCAGCACGCTGGGACCCCTACCTACACAATCACTCATAGGAATTGAAAAACTGTAAATGGTCGATCAATCACATACATTTATTGTATTGGTACTTCCCCGAAACATCAGTGTTTAAACCACAAGTCACAACATACATGTATTAGCACTGGGCCCCTTCACCCGTGGATTCCCCGGGAAACTACACAGCTTTAAGACGGGCCAACACAATCGTCATCAGCTTTGTTTGACACCATCTTCATCAGTCTGAATATCATCTTCATCAGCCTGGTTTAACATCATCTTCATCAGCCTAGTTTATCATCATCTACATCAGCCCGAATTAATATCATCTTCATCAGCCTGAGTTCATCTCATCTTCATCAGTCTTGTTTAACATCATCTTCATCACCCTGGTTTAACATCATCTTCGTCAGCCTGGTTTAACACCATCTATTTCAGCCTGGTTTAACATCATCTAAATCAGCCTGAATTAATACCATCTTCATCAGTCTGGGTTAATATCATCTTCATCAGCGTGGACTGTTCATCCATCATGTATTTGCATATTATAGGCTGGTGTGTCTGTTTGTGAAATGACTATATCTGTTAAAGACCCGGATGGGGATTTCTTCACCACAGATCTTCTCCATGGCAACAACAGTCAACGGTTTTCACTAACTTCCGTGAACCAGAATACCCGGATGACGTTTAATGTTGACTATGACGTAGACGATAGCGCGATGCCTCGGCATGCACTGTTGACACTAGGAGCTGTTGATAGTTTAGGTTTAACAGGTAAAATACTCGATTATCAAGTTAGTTGTATGTAGTATTTCATTATAGCCTTACTTTTGTCATTACATCCATTGAATTTGAGGACACGGGTGACATCCGGTCGACATTTTGTTTGTTCGCTCGTTCGGAGGCCTTAAGCCCACCAACATTCCCAGCGCCCCCCCCCCCCCCTCCCGGCACCTAGGGCGTTATCGCAGACAATCGACATCCGACATCTGGCCCAGTTACTAAATATATGATGTAAAATACCCTGTGACGTCTGTATTTCCAGGCTGTTCCGGTTTAGACAGCCTTTGTTATATCCTTGCCGTCCGTGCCAATATTATCTATTGTTCTTATAATAAAGTAGTCTTAGTTCCGGTCAGCTTGTGTTGTATATCAACCCCACGTGCTGTACATAGAAGTCCATTGTGGCCCATCAAGACTTAACAGACTTTATCAGGGACGGGTTAAGCTTGCATGATGCCCCTGGCTGAAAATTTCGCCAGGGACCTTGCATCAACCGTGAATAAGGGACCATTTTCTGACCATTGTCCGTCAGACTCACATGGATACAAAACGTAATGATATTAATATTACAGGTAGTGCAAAGATATCTATAACCGTACAAGATGTAAATGATAATAGACCTGAGTTTAATACAGGTAGATTGGATTATAACGTAGATCAAAGAACACTGCCAGGTATACTCGGATCAATCAACGCTACAGACAGAGATACAGGCCATAACGCTCAAATATACTACTCTATGAAAGGTATGATGATAACACTTTTATACAGGTACAGGCCATAATGCTCAAATATACTACTCTATGAAAGGCATGATTAATCGTTCTAGAACACTCGATAACACTTCTATAGAGAGAGATACAGGCCATAACGCTCAATTATACTCAACTCTTAAAGGTATGATTACACCCTCTAGAACATACGAGATATACAGGTCATTACAGCTCAATATATTATACTTTCTTATAGGTATGATTACACCTTCTAAAACACCCAATAACATTTCTAGGACACTCGAATTATACAGGTCATTACGCCAATTATATTATACTTTCTAAAAGGTATGATTACTCCGTCTAGAACATTCGATAACACGTCTAGGTTCTATTAACGCTAGAGGCAGAGATACTGGTCATTATTCCCAAACATACTACTCGTAAAGGTATGCCTACTCCCTCTAAAACACACGATAGCACTTCTAGGATCTATTAACGTTAGAAACAGAGATATTGGTCATAACTCCCAAATATACTACTCTTAAAGGTATGATTACTCATTCCAAAACACTCTAGAGATACAGGCCGTAAACCCCAGATATACTATGCTTTCTTAATATGATTACATCATCTAGAACACTAAGTAACACTTCTATAGAGATACGGGCCATAACGCCCAGATATACTACTCTCTTAAAGTAGGCAAGTCTTTAAATCAGTATCATCCACAGTCTTCGTCATTGCAAACACGACTCATAGGTTAATTTAAATCAACATTGATGTTATCTTACTGTGAAAAGTAGGACTTCTGGTATCCAATATTTAAGTCACCGTGCATATTTTAAACTTGGCTCACGAATCGCGTGCCAGAATGATTTCGCGGAGCCATTTGTAATGAAGCGACTCGATAAACGAGGCTAAACATATCCCACAAGAAACGACTACCGGAGTAGACTGGAATAACCAGACGCTAAAATCTGCCATTCAATGTGCACGCTTCGCGTATTTCGTCAAACGTACAGTAAAACAGAAACGATCGAATTTAAATCAGTTTATATACTTTCATATTACATTATTATATGCGTTGTGATTTGCGAACCATTTGTGTCCATTTTATAGTTGCCAAAGAATAGCGATTTAGCCCCCTTAAAGATCGACAACAAAACGACAGGGAAAAAGTCAAACAATTCGATTTACATGTAAATAGACGTGTTTTTTTTTTATTTTCGTAACAATCTTTACTGTATTATTACAGGAGCACAGCCATCTTCTACAACTAATTACGTTCACGTCACTGGTAATGGTGACGTCAGATATACCAGTCTCTTCCCTGATTCAGCCAGTGGCAGTTATCTCCTCTTTGTTGAAGCGCGAGATAATGGCGAGCCGCCTAGATCTTCAACAGGCACCGTAGCTATAACCTTCACTACAACTACTACAACCACTACAACTACATCTGCGACAACGACAGTGGTTACGACTACGGTAACACGAACGTATAATTTCTGGGAACACAGTGAAAATTTGATCTTGTTTGCTCTGTTGATGACGTTATTGGTTTTGGGGTGTATTATTGGGGCCTGTTTGTATCTGTCCGGTTCGTGCTGTGGTTCAAGATCAAGAAGAAGACGTTGGGATTGTGATGGATGTTGTCCCAGACAGTGAGTTCTTTTTTTTTTCATGTATTAATCAAAATTATTCTTCCTTTAAAATAAATATTTCACCACTAATATAATAGTCATTTTATAAATACATTTTACGTTGTGTATGTATATTTTATTAAAGCTCATTTGAGAGAGAGAGAGAGAGAGAGAGAGAGAGAGAGTGAGAGAGAGAGAGAGAGAGAGTATTTTAATCCCTTCAATTGCCTGTGAATGAAGACGGGCATACGCCATGCACTGTGCTGTGAGAGAAATTCTGTCCGGACAGCGGCGCTACGGCCTACTCTCATATCGAATTCCAACTGTCAAGAGATCGTTTAGGTACACGTCAACATACCTCGATTTTTCGTTCCACGTAAAAAAAAAAAAAAAAAAAATGCATAAATCGCAGTCATTTGTCTTCACGGTTTGTGCACCGTTATCTTGTAAGAAACTAACATGTACCACTGTGTCCTGGAATCCTATAGTCTACTGATTCTTGTAACGGTCGACTATCGCTTTTCAAAATTGAAACCCCCCCCCCCCCCCAAAAAAAAACCCTTTCTATCGAAACAATGACCCATATAAATGGACCACATTCAGTTACCAATTGTACAATACAAAACTTGTTATAGTTTGTATCTAAACTGACGAAGTGTTGTTAACGTGACTATGAATCATAGTGATTTCAGGGGGCACGCATCTTTTTCTTTCGGTGGTGGGGTGGGGTGGGGGTATCATAAGGTCTGTCATTGAGCCAACTGGCGTAGTTTCGATTGCACGGTTGTACGTCACAAGGAGTAGGGTCATTTGTCCAACCTCGGGGGTTTTCTCCGGGTCCTCCGGTTTCCCCCCACTGCTAAAGACCCCTTTGGGCAAGCGAATTATTGAAATGAAATTGAACCATATGTTAGTCCCGAAATGACGTAGTTTGTGTCAAGTGGATGTTAAATCCCCCCCCCCTCTCTCTCTCTCTCTCTCCTTTTTAGGGGGACACAATATTTGTTGATAGGGGTGGTGTGGGCTGCCCCGTATGTTTAAATCAATCCACTCTGTGTATTTTAGAGAAGTTCACGTAAGAAGAGTTCAACCAATCTACGAAGATTAGTAAGTCATCATTTTTAATTATTAAATATGGGGCCACACTAACCATCTTTGAATTTAGACGTCATTACAGCCATCTTGGAGCTATGACGTCGTCACCACCATCTTGGAATTTAGACGTCATCACAGCCATCTTGGAATTTATACGTCATCACAACATTCTTTGAACTGTGACGTCATCGCAGCCATCTTTGAGGAATTGTGACATCATATCAAAGTACAACAATTATCTAAGGAACAAGTGTACCAAGTTTTATGTCAATCACGGTTGATTTGGCGGAGGCTTAGGCTTTCTTCGTAGACCGTATTTGATTTCATTTAACAATTAAAATTGTATATCATTCTAATTCAGATTAGTCCTATATATATTCCGCTCCATTTTTTATTTTGGTTGAGACAATTTCTCTAATTCTCAGTTTTCTGATTTAAGTCACTGTATAAATGGCAATCTGATTACAATACAGATCTATATTTCGTTTCGTTTTTTTTTATACTCTCAATGGCCTACACTACATGAAGATCTGGCCAGTTGTTTTAGGAGGTTGCATCAGAAGTCATACGAGCGGCTTTCGACCCTATGACGTCAGACATTTGATTAACCAATCAGCATTGATGTTTCTAGTGGATTACCCACAGTTCCGTGCACCTCACGCCAAAAGCTAACCGTAACCAACTGTTCCATTGGTCAATCCCTCACATCATCCGGAACACGTCAATGATAACAACTATTCCAGATCCTAGTGTAATTAAGACAAATAAAACGAAATTTTGAACTATAAAAAACGAAACGAAATAGGATCTGTGTTTTAATCAGATTGTGTGATTGGCTAAAATTATCATTGCCCAAGTTAAAGCCTGTGCTCATTGGCTAGATGAATGGTCAGGTCAGGTCAATTTCTAACTATTTATTTTATACAGTTATCCTTCACACGAACCATCTGTAGCATCAGCGGATTACCGTGAAGATTTCTGGAACAAAGGTTGGTACAAATTTATAATGATTGATTCTCTGTAATTAAATGTCGCAGTTTTCCCGGAAAGCCAGTATAAAGAGAGAGAGAAAGAAATGGAGCTTAACGTCCAATTGATACAAACTAGGTCATTTCGGGACTAACATATAGTTCAATTTTATTTCAATAATTCGGCTTGCGCCTAGGGGGTCTTTGGCAGTGGGAGGAAACCGGAGGACCCGAAGAAAATCCACGAGTTTTGTCAGGCGAATCTACTTTTGTCACGTAAAAGCGGAAAATCGAAACCACACCACATGGCTCAAAGACAGACCTTATGATCCAACGCGCACGCTTTCAAGCACTAGCCCCCCCCCCCCTCCCCCACCCCCAATAGAAATAGAAAGTCATATTTTGTATGTATAACACAGATTTTAATACTGATTGATCTTCCTATATACAGCTTCCCGTGGTGATTGTTTGGGGTTTCGATTCGCCGGTTGTACGTGACAAGAGTAGGGCGGCTTCCAAGACTCTTGGGTTTTCTCCGGGTCCTCCAGTTTCTTCCCAAGGCCAAAGACCTCTCCCTCTCTCTGTTTGGGGTTATCAGTCCTAGCCCTTATGATGTGTCGAAGACTGTTCCACCCAACCGACCCCATGTGCTACTGGTTATCGTAGGATGTGATTCAATCTTTATCTATTACAGGTGATCATTTTGAAGATGGCCGACCGTGGTCGACTGGTCTGGTCAGATTGCAGGATCCAAGAGGAGTTGTAGATAGGACTGTTCTAGCCAGAAAAATACATTAATATTAGTTCAGCTCGACATCGGAAGTAATGACGGATGACAGGACTGTTCTAGCCAGAAAAATACGTTAATGCCGCGGCACCGGATGTAGCCATAGTTGATATTATTATTATAGCGGGACAAATGCATTGATTTTATTATTATTACCAGGGCACAGGAAGTAGTGACGGTAGATAGGAATGTTCTAGACAGAATTATAAATCCATACTGCTTAGGAGAATGATTATTCTACCGGAAGTAGTAACGGTTGATAGAAATATAAATCCATACTGCTTGGGAGAATGATTACTTTACCAATTATACACCATATACCGGAAGTAGTAATTGTTGACCAATCTGAAACACTAATAATATTATGTAACAGACATTGAGTAGAGCAAAGCTGACTGTTGGCAAAATATAAAACCTTCATAATTATGCTTATCAAGTGTTCAAAAAAATGTTAAATAATTTTTTTTCATGTGCATTGCCTGTCTTATACAGTGTATTCGGTTCCGATTTGATTTTTTTAAAAACACGCACCTGTTGTAATAAACCCAACCCAACCAATCCACGCACCTGTTGTAATAAACCCAACCCAACCCATCCACGCACCTGTTGAATTTAAAACCCAACCCAACCCATTCACCAACCTGTTGTATTAAACCCAACCTAACCCCATCCACGCACCTGTTGTATTAAACTTAACCCACCCCATCCACGCACCTGTTGTATTAAACCTAACCCAACCCACCCACGCACCTGCTGTAATAAACCCAACCCATCCCGTCCACTCACCTGAAATTAAACTGAAAAAGAGTTGATCCGTCATCAACATCTTGGAGTAGGTCAAAAAGATAAGAGTTTTGATTATGACCTTTACTTTGTTAAGGGATATGGGTGAGTTTGTCTGCCTGACAAGCCATTTTGAGTACAATAGCAGACCGTTTGGAACACAATAATGGGGTATAATGTTCAAACTTGATTTTTCTACAGCGAAATTTCCAGTCTATGATGACAAATACCTGTACTGTATGAATGTAGTAATATTGTTTAATGCATCAAAGTACACAAACATAATAATATATATCAACCTATTGTATATTATATACAGTTTATCAAACCCAGTGTATATTATATTATATACAGTTTATATAACCAGCGTATATTATATACAGTTTATTACCTGTGTATATTATATACAGTTATATAACCAGTGCCAATGTATCCCAGTGTATATTATATACAGTTATATAAAATCCAGTGTATAGTACATACAGTTATATAAAACCCAGTATATAAAATATACAGTTATAAACCAGTGTATATACAGTTTATATAACCAGTGTATATAATATACAGTTATATAACCAGTGTATATTATCATCAATATGGTCTACCATGGGCATAGTGATATCCTGTAATTATACAAAAAGAACAAATATATAAATACAAATACACGTAGATAGAGATAGTAAGTATAAATAATTAAAAACGAAATGCTAAGTAGATACATAAGTAACTAAATAAGTAAAGAAAGAAATACTAAGTAAGGAAATAAGTAAAGAAAGAAATACTAAGGAAATAAGTAAATACCAAGTAAATAAATAAGTAAAAAAAGAAATACTAAGTAAGTGGATAAGTAAATACATAAATACTAAGTAAGTAAGTAAATAAAGAAATAATAAGTAAGTGAATAAGTAAATAAAGAAACACTAAGTAAATAAGAAAGAAAGAAACACTAAGTAGACAAATAAGTAAAGAAAGAAATACTAAGTAAGTAAAAAAGTAAAGAAAAAAAAATACTAAGTACTAAAAAAACAGGTAAAGAAAGAAATACTAAGTAAATAAGTAAAGAAAGAAATACTAAGTAAGTAAAGAACAAAATACTAAGTAAATAAGTAAAGAACGAAATACTAAGTAAGTAAATAAAGAAATACTAAGTAGATACATAAGTAAAGAAAGAAATACTAAGTAGATACATAAGTAAAGAAAGAAATACTAAGTAGATACATAAGTAAAGAAAGAAATACTAAGTAAGTAAGTAAGTAAGTAAGTAAAGAAATACTAAGTAAGTAAAGAAAGAAATACTAAGTGGATAAAAAAGTAAAGAAAGAAAATACAAACCGAAAAACCCCCGAATATAATCAGAAGACTATAAAGATCAGTAAGGTATACAGATATAAAAAAAGGTCTTGGACGTAAATCGCTTCTCATTGTAATGATTAATGAAAAATTTATTCGTTCGTTAAAATTAAACAACCCCAAGGATATCAGTTAGGCATTCCCAGATAGTAAGTGTAATAATTTACCTGTATGCCAGAAATCACTTTTATAGTCACTGGCTGTTACTGGTGGCATATCACTGTAAATATAAACAATAACAATTTATTACCCAAAATTTATAATACCCAGACAAAATTTATTGTACCCAGACGAAACTTATTGTGCCCAGACAAAACTTATAATACCCAGACAAAACTTATTTCACCCAGACGAAACTTATTGTACCCAGACGAAACTTATTGTCACTTGACGAAACTTATTGTACCCAAACAAAACTTATTGTACCCTGACGAAACTTATTATGCCCAGACGAAATTTATTGTACCCAGACGAAACTTATTGTACCCAGTTGAAACTTATTGTACCCAGATGAAACTTATTGTCTGCAGATACAAAACTGTTTCTGTCTAGCAAAACAAAGAATAAACAATTTATTCCTGGCATGACTTACTTAGAATAGGTAATTTCAAATTTTTCAATATATTTTTTTGTCATTCTAACCATTATTTCCGAGACCTGGTTGTTCCGAGTAAGTGTTTAACAAAGATAGGACTTACAAGTCTTCGTATGTCATAGGTGACGGTTGAACACGTCTAGGTGGAGGTGGTCTACAGCAGTTGTCACAAATACCATCTTGGCCACCTCCCCCACCACAACAACTTCCGGTAATACACCATCGGAACAGGAAGTAGAGACCAATTAAGAACGCCAGTAACAGTAGAATCATCAAGATACTAAATATAGCTACGTTCTCCGCTTTCTCGAAGAATCCCGGATCCGGAGTCGTGGTTGGAATAATAGTTGTAGGTATGGTCGTAGTAGAAGTTGTAGTTGTCACTGTCGTTGACGTAGTAGTTGTAGCTTCTAGCGTTATGACTACGGTACCGGTTGAAGAAAGAGCCGGAGAGCCCCTATCCTTAGCTTCTACAGACAGGTAAACACTGGAACCAGCCAGATTTTCTGGGTATTGACGCATGTAGTGTATATCTCCATTACCTGTATATATTAGATCATGAGAGAGATAGAGAGGGGGGGGGGGGGGGGGTTAACGTCCACCAGACACAAACTAGGTCATTTCCGGACTAACATAAGGTTCAACATTATTTCAATATTTCGCTTGAGCGTAGGTAGTCTTTAGCAGTGGGAGGAAAGCGGAAGACCTGGAGAAAACCCACGAGGTTAGACAGGCGACCCAAGAATCGAAACCACCCCAGTTGATTTACATTCAACCGTTTCTGTTTCTAATCAGCTATGTTAGGTGAAATACACGAAGAGTGCAAATTGAATGGTAGTCTTCGGCGTCTGGTTATTCCAGTCTATTCCGGTAGTCTTCCCTTGTGGGATATGTTTAGCCTCGTTTATACAGTCACTACATTACAAATGGCACGCGATTCGTATGCCAAGTTTAACATTTTCACGGTAAGATAACAACATCAATGTTGATTTAATTTGACCAATAAGTTGTGTTTGCAATATCGAAGACTGCGGATCATACTGAGTTAAAGACTTCGCTTCTTTAAGCGTCTGAACGACCTAGGAGATTTGCATCAAGTATGGTGATCACGTGTTTGTCACGTGTTGTCTATATTTGAACTTACCAAGGACGGAAACGAAATTGATTGCATTAGGAGGAACAACTTGTACTAATCTATAGTCTATGTCACCATTTGTACCAGCATCGTCATCTGTAGCTTTAAAAGGACGCAACAAACCTGCGGAGAAATAAGAAACAACACGTAGAAATTAACTGTTACGAATTTTATATGTGTCATATTCAATAACTTCAGACTCCCCTAAACATCGAAATTACACATAGCACGCATTTCATATCAACATGCTATATATAGATTTATTACCTGGTAAGTGACGCCAACATGCTATACATTGATATATTACCTGGTAAGTGACGTCAACATGCTATATATAGATATATTACATGGTAAGTGACGTCAACATGCTATATTATATTGATTTATTAGCTGGTATGTGACGTCAACCTACTATATATAGATGTATTACATGGTAAGTAACGTCAACGTGCTATATATAGATATATTATCTGTAAGTGACGTCCTTACGCTATATATAGGTATATTACCTGGTAAGTCACGTCAATATGCTATATATAGATGTATTACCTGGTAAATGACGTCAACATGCTATATCTATGTATATTACATGGTACGTGACGTTAACATGCTATATATAGATATATTACATGGCAAGTGACGTCAACATGCTAAACATTGATATAGTACCTGGTAAGTGACGTCAACATGCTATTTATAGATATATTACCTGGACTTTTCTGATACGTGATGTCAATTGGTACGGTGTTTATTATATTATTGAAATGTGGTATATTATCATTTACATCTCTTACAACAACAGATACAGTGGCTGTAGATATAGCACCACCCTCGTCTATAGCATTTACAAATAACGTTACCTACAATATATAACGTTATATACAACATCGTTATAGCCCAACTCTACTGTACTATATACACTAACGTTGCCTACAATATATAACAACAGATACAGTGGCTGTAGATATAACACCAAACTCATCTACAGCATTTACATATAACGTTACCTATAATATGCACCAACAGATACAGTCGCTGTAGATAAAGCTCCAAACTCATCCAAAGCATTTACATATAACGTTACCTACTGTTACGGGTATGCTTGCCAATGGACCCGTAAAACAAAATGTCTTTAAAATCTTTGAGTGTTGTAATGCCTGTTCACGATCTACATCCCCGTAACGGCGCGTCACACTAAAATATATAACTTTATATAACATCGTTATAGCCTAATTCTGCTGTACAATATAAACTAGCGAGAGAAAATGGAGTTTTTTTTTCAGTCACGTGTCATTTACTCTCGTTTACTTTAGCCCAAATTGAGCAGTTTTTGATAATCAGGTGACGTCACTCTCTTGACGTGTTTGCTTAAACATACAGTATGCAAGAGCTAAATCTTTCTATTGCAGGTCTTTCGTTAGGCCTGAAATGTTATTTAAATTATTAATTAGACATTAATTAACCTATCCAGACCATAATCAACTCTAGATGGCATCGCTAGCCTGCGTTTTTAGTGGATTACGAGCCGATTTACTTCATAACTTTCCTTCATGATTTAACAATTAAATGGATAACTGAGACTATGCTGTTTATCGTACTGACTTTAGTAATGATGATCGAGGCTAGGCGGAAATTTCAATCGCTTAGTTCTTGGTTCATAGTGGATCAGGGGGGTTGGATGGCTGAATGGTTAGCGTGCGCGCGCTGTATCATAAAGTCTGTCATTGAGTTGACTGGCGTGGTTTCGAATCCCCGGTTGTACGTGACAAGGAGTAGGGTCGCCTGTCCAACCTCGTGGGTTTTCTCCGGGTCCTCCGGTTTCCTCCCACTGCTAAAGACCCCTACGCGCAAGCGGATTATGTAAATAAAATTAAACCATATGTTAGTCCCGAAATGACCTAGTTTGTGTCGAGTGGACGTTAAACCCCATTTCTCTTTCTCTCTCTCATAGTGGATCAATTTGAATGAAATTTTCAGCAAATTGCCTTTACGTTATCTAGTTTTTAACTATTATAGTGAGAACTGCCAACTCGTTATCGAATCTTCCATAATGTATCTTTAACAGAGGGAGCCACTGTAAGTAGAAAATTGGCTCACTAAACTGGACGCCCGTGTTCCATCCCAGTGTTGACCGAGAAAGTTGCCTATATATATAGCTGTATGTGTTATATGTTACAAGATGTGTTCGAGGGATGGGAGGGAGGGGGTCCCCTCTCAGTGCCGACGAGTGATATTGGGCTGTGTGGAACATGCGATCTGTAGCATATCTGACTCTCGGTATATGCTTGATACTGGTTGAGCATTATGATTATGAATATAATATTGAAAATCAATTTTTTGCCATTTGTGAGGGCACAAAGGGGTGCAAAAACTCAAAACCATGACGCAAAGGTCGTCATTGCGTCCCTTTCACTTAGCCCCTGCTTGGTAGACACTAGCGGGGTTAATGGGAAAGATTATTACGTACTCTCTGATGGAGGCAGACCACCATTAATTTCCCCATTGACTTCAATGTTAATTCTGGCCTCTTTAAGCACCTCCAACTTTTCCCCAAATTTTCGTTGGACTGAATGCTTTTCACTATGGACAGATGAACAAATGACCATGTCTTTGCATTAAAATTTGTATGAGGTTGACCACCAAAATTTTGAGATACACAAACTTGAAGACGCATATCAAAAACATGTAACTAGTTGCCGTACATATCACCGTAGCCAACCTGATAACTCCGTTATCCTTCCGCCACAAAATCATGAATATTTACCAAAACCTGGCAGAAAATATTAATTCAAACCCTCTTCGTCCATTCTAGACCAAAAAATCAACAAAAATGGGCATGCAAAAGGGGAGAAAAGAGACGGAGAGAGAATTGCTATAAATAGACGAACAACAATTTGTGGGTACCGAGATGGTGAAATTTAATGGTGGTCTGCCTCCTGTTGTTGAAATTTAATGGTGGTCTGCCTCCTGTTGTTGATAAACGGAGAAGTGGATATTGTCAAGTACTTACTCGTTCGGGCATACGACCTTCATCTACGTCATAATCTACGTTAAATGTCAAGCGGTGACTCTCTCTGAACAAATAATAGTTGAAATTATTATTATTTGAGTTTGATGTCAGAGCGAAATGTTTGCTGTTTTCATCTTGAAATAGTCGAGTTATAAATCTGTTGCCTTCTGGATCTCTAATACTAAAACCAAGGTTACACGCCGACACTCCTGCCTGTAAAGATAAAAACATGTCATTGCGATAGAAAGCCTAAAACACCGTTGTCAACACAATACCAGAATCCAACTTAGATGAAGAGAAGGTCTTATGATCCCCCCCTCCCTCCTCCCACCCTCACGACTAGATGAAAATGAAAGTGTATTTAAAGTAACTAATTCTCTTACTCAATATCATCCAAAGACTTCGACATTGAAAACGTCAATTATTTGTCAATTTAGATCAACAGTGATGTTGTGATCTGCCCGGGAAACGATGGGCTTCAGATGTCCAATATTTAAGACAAAATAAACATTTTACCATTGGTACAATGCGTTTCAGTCAAACGGTGACGCCATTTTCTTATCTGGAGAGCATGCGCAATAAATACTATCGGTGTAGACTGGAATAACCAACGCTAGAGATTGCCATTCGATTGAGACTTCTGGATTATTCCGCCGAACATAACTGATTAGAAATTATAGTAAAAACAGAAATGATTGAATGTAATTCAGTTTATATACATTTATATTACATTATTATATGCGTTGTAACCTATTTGTGTTAATTTCTAGGTCCCAAATATGGGCGCTTTAGCTAATTTAAACAGGATTGAACAAAGTCCAGTATGAGGACGGGTGTTGAAGACCACGGTGCCTGTACGAAAGGCTTATGACAATGTCAAAAAAATATTATAAACCTTGGCAGGAATCCCCCGCCCCCAGAATGGTCAACCCTTCAGGTAAATCCGGCATTGCATCCCAGATAATCGTGTCCTCTGTATCTTAGCACAATTAAACATACATTATGACGTCACATTAATAATGACGTCATTGTATTAATCATATTAAACATACATAATGCAAGAGCTAAATCTGTCTATTGCAGGTCTTTCTTTAGGCCTGAAATGTTATCTAAATTATTAATTAGACATTAATTAACTTATCCAGACCGTAATCAACTCTAGATGGCATCGCTAGCCTGCGATCTTTAGTGGATTATGACCCGATTTACTGCATAACTCTCCTTCACGATTTAACGATTCAATGGATAATCGAGACTATGCTGTTTATCGTACTGACTTTAGTAATGATGATCGAGGCTAGGCGGAAATTTCAATCGCTTAGTTCTCGGTTCATAGTGGATCAATTTGAATGAAATGTTCAGCAAATTGCCTTTACATTATCTAGTTCTTTATCTAATCTTCCATAATGTATCTTTAACCTCGTTATCGAATCTCCCATAATGTATCTTTTATTGTAATAGACAATATAATTGTAATAAATGTAATAAAAAATAATTGTAATAAACATTAATTGTAATAAACATTAATTGTAATAAACAGGATCGTGCCCTGTGCCGTCATTTTTATACACTACGGGGGCGAGATGGATGTTACTGCCTCCTCAACATCTATGATACAGGTAGTCCCCTCTCTCTCTCTCTCTCTCTCTGGTTAGCATGTGCGCGCTGTATCATAAGACATGTCATTGAGTAAACTGGCGTGGTTTCGAATCCCCGGTTGTACGTGACAAGGAGTAGGGTCGTCTGTCTAACCTCGCGGGTTTTCTCCGGGTCCTCCGGTTTCTTCACACTTGTAAAGACCCCTAAGCGCAAGCGAATTATTGAAATAAAATTAAATCCATATGTTAGTCCCGAAATGACCTAGTTTGTGTCGAGTGGACGTTAAACTCTCTCTCTCTCCTCTCTCTCTCTCTCTCTCAATAAATTATGGTTACCTTTGATTCGTCCATGGTACAGTACACCGGATTATCGCTGAACACCGGAGGCTCATTCACGTTATTTACATTCACTATAAGAACCTCGTTCTGAGATTGTAGGAAACCATCTGACACAGAACAAGATATGGTATAACGTCGGGTTGTCTCAAAATCTAAAAATGTTCTTACATTCGCATTATCTCTAGGTTTTAGTGATATTGGTCGATCTACTGTAAAAACAAAATAAACAAACTTATTATTACGTTTGATACAATGTCCGTCTGAAGCTGCGGCGGCTCGGTTAGTCAGGAGAGAAAGAGAGAGAGAGAGAGAGGTGGCTCGGTTAGTCAGGAGAGAGAGAGAGAGAGTTTGATACAATCGGGAGCCACGGTGGCTCGGTTACTCAGGAGAGAGAGAGAGAGAGAGAGAGAGAGAGAGAGAGTCACAAACTAGGTCATTTGGGGACTAACATATGGTTCAACATATGGTAACTCCAATACGCTCTTGATGGGAGGTCCACTGTATCTGCTGCGTCTATAGACACGTTAGACCAATAGACCACCCACCCCCTCCAAACTATCAGAGAAGAGAGAGAGAGAGAGAGAGAGAGAGAGAGAGAGAAATGGGGTTTAACTTCCACTCGACACAAACTAGGTCATTTCGGGACTAACACGTGGTTCAATTTTATTTCAATAATTCGCTTGCGCGTAGGGGTCTTTTACCAGTGGGGGAAACCGGAGAACCCGGAGAAAATCCACGAGGTTGGACATTCCCCCCCCCCCCGTACCTCAGGAGCAGGCTGGTCCGTATTGACAGGTTACCTCACTAATTATACACTACTATTACACCCGGGGCTGGTCCGTATAGGCAGGTTACCTATCTGAATTATACACCACTATTACACCCGGGGATGGTCCGTATAGACAGGTTACCTAACTGAATTATACACCACTATTACACCCTGGGCTGGTCCGTATAGACAGGTTACCTAACTAATTATACACTACTATTACACCCGGGATGGTCCGTATAGGCAGGTTACCTATCTGAATTATACACCACTATTACACCCTGGGATGGTCCGTATAGACAGGTTACCTAACTGAATTATACACCACTATTACACCCTGGGCTGGTCCGTATAGACAGGTTACCTAACTAATTATACACTACTATTACACCCGGGGCTGGTCCGTATAGGCAGGTTAGCAACTAATTATACACTACTATTACACCCTGGTCTGGTCCGTATAGACAGGTTACCTAACTGAATTATACACCACTATTACATCCTTGGCTGGTCCGTATAGACAGGTTACCTAACTGAATTATACACTCCCGCCCTCATGCCATCTGTGAGCTTGACCTCTATGACATACAAAAACGAAACACCCCCTTCCACCTGTGGGCTGGACGTATAGACAGATCACAATAAAAAAACAACAAGCCCTACCCACCGGTGAGCTGGACCTTATAACAGATTACATACCGAAATCAAACACTTCATTTCCACCTGTGGGCTGGACGGTACAGACAGGTTTTAGGGTGGTAAGGACACCATCATCGTTTACATAGATATCAACAATACTTAGCGGCTGGATAGTCTCGTTTATGTTTATCGTATCTGGTAAATTGACTATATCTGGTCGTTGATTCAAATCTAGAAAAATAAAATTATAGCAAATATATTTAGCAAGGAAATGAAACGAAATGGAGTTTACCGAGATATGTAGTTAGTGGTCACGGTGGCTAAGTGGGTAAGACGCTGGCTCGCTAGCCTGGAGGTCGGGTGTTTGATCCCTGCATTGGCCGAGAAAGTTCATCCAGATTTTCCGGCGTGGAACCCCTCAGTGATGCAGGACGGAGGGCCTGACAAGTATAGCTGTCTAGTCGTTCGGATGGGACGAAAAAACGAGATCCCGTGTACACATTGGCGTGCACGTAAAAGATTCCTTGACAGTTAGAATTCGATATAAGAGTAGGCCGTAGTTCCTGTCTTTATTAGCCCAGTTCGGAGCGGAACAGTAGGACGTTAAACCCCATTTCATTTCATTTCATTTCGTTATGTAGTTATTATAACTATAAATCAGTTCAAGAGTGGCTCCGTTTCCTATAGCGAACACACAGACCAGTTTTGTCTTCAATATAATACTAGCAGGATACCTTGCTTCGCCATGGGCCCAAGATCCGTGACCTTAGCCTTCATAAATCATGGCCTAAAACATTCACGTGGTCAGTGACCTTAGCCTTCATAAATCATGGCCTAAAACATTCACGTGGTCAGTGACCTTAGCCTTCATAAATCATGGCCTAAAACATTCACGTGGTCAGTGACCTTGAACTTCATAAATCATGGCCTAAAACATTCACGGGATCATGCTGGTTAATTTGCTACCACATATGTGGGGGTGGATGGCAGCAACAAAGCGTATTTATATACACAGAACGATAAGTGATCTGCTTATTGCCATGGTGTTACATAATCACAGATTATCTGACGTTATAGGCGCTTCCTGCCAACTTGACACCAGTTCGATATCGACATCCCGGGAGTTTTTGTTCTATGTGATTATGTAACCTTACCTTGATGGCATGTCTTATTTAAACTTTCTTTGTCTGATTAGCATGTATCGAGTGTTAAACCTGATATGATACATGATACATCAGCCAGATGTCTAATAAGATTCCTTTGTCTGGAATGGTTTATAAACCCAGATTAACAAACGAAAACTCAGAGAGGTCCGGACAGGACACGAGAGCGGAGACCATGGGCGCCTTGGCACAGACGAGACGGAATGAGGAAAGCGTATTGGAGTTGGCACACTCGTGCCTAGCCAAGCTAGGATATGACTCCCTCAATACAAGTTAGTTATGGAGTCTTTAAGTTTTGTACATAATATGTTAGAAGAAGCAGAGAATAAATATATTATGTATTGTTTAATGGTCGAGAGCGAGACATTAAGTAATATATTGTAACAACAAGAGGACCGTCAGGTCCGAGTGTTTTTACAATATATTACGCAATGTCTCAGCTCGAGACCATTAAACATCTTAAAATACAGACACTCCGCACGTGCGTTTACAGTGAAATACGTCACTCGAGTCTAATATTTGACAAGGTACGATAGGCAAGTTGCCCGTACGATTATTTGAAATAATGGTACGCCAACATCAAAGGGTGACGTCACATCTGTATTTTAAAAGATGTTAAACTAGTCTTGTCATCTGAACATGATATAAAGAACCAATACTGTCATATGGCACACCAAGGCTTACTCGGCTGTAATCTGTACAGGGCCACCAATTTAATTTTCATGTGCTGGAGCCAAATAAATTTCGCGACCCCCTTCCACCCACACCTGTGCAAGGACGTTTAGACCATAAAATACACAATAATACATCTATGACCCTGTTTCTCGAAATCTTAACTAAAGATAAAATCCAAATTTTTCTTTTTAGTAGATACTTTAATTTTGATTGGCTAAGCACTGAAATATATCTAATATTATCCAATCTAATTACCCGAGATCGCACCAAGGGTTTCGCGCAATAAATACCGACCATGCCGAAGGTAAATATAAATTAAATAGATAGTCCCAAGTTGCCCCTGATGGCTGTTGAACGTTAAATTTGTAATAAACAACAACAACCTGGAGCGATGTACTCCTGGGGGGGGGGGGGGGAGAAACTGGATTAAACGTGATCATTTCGGGACTAACATATAGTTTAATTTTATTTCAATAATTCGCTTGCGCGTAGGGGTCTTTAGCAGTGGGAGGAAACCAGAGGACACGGAGAAAACGCACGAGGTTGGACAGGCGACCCTACTCCTTGTCACGTACAACCGGGTACGTGACGTACAACCACGCTTGATGCTAACCATTCGGGCACCCCCCCCCCTCCTCAAACCCATCTCCTTTGGCCTCTGAGTCTGGAGAAACGAGAAAGTTAAAAAGTTAATCTTAAAATATTTCATTAGAGGGATTCGGGGGTTTAATTGTTATAAATTATTTACTTGTCAAATTGATTGTAAGGGTCAATGGTCTGTCTGCAGCATTAAATCCATCTGTGACGTTAATGGTTAATACTATTGAGCTCCGTGTAGCTGTTCTCAAATCAACCTTATTGGTCAAAATACCACTTGCTAAAAATACAACCAAACATTACACAATATATTAAACAGGCCACTCGGCAAACTTCGGCAGATTCCGTTACACTACAGCTAGCCTCGGCTGTATGACGGTAAGTGATATGTACCTACGCCTATACAACTGCGATGCGGCACCGGTTTACTTATTAGAAACACTTGCCGCTTTTAAAAAGAAGTTATCAAAATTGCGTCGTTGGAAGCGTGTGTAGAATTTACAGTGCAAAGTTGTCCTTGTTTGAAGAAAATTGGATAAAATTTGAAATATTTGTATGATAAAACATTCTTCAAAGGTGTCGTTATGGGCAACGCCGTTAGTAATCCGGGAACTTAAAAATAGTTCAATGACGGACTTCGTCATACAGCCGACGCTAGATTTAGGCTACTGGAATCTGCTGAGGTTTGCCGAGTGTTAAACAGGCCTCACATGTAGCGAAATGACAGGAAATGAAATAGGGTTTTACGTCCTACTGTTTTGCTCCTAAACTGGGCTAATGAAGACGGGCATACGCCATACAGTGTGCTATGAGGGGAATTTTGCCCGGCCAGCGGTGCTACGGCCTACTCTTATATCGAATTTCAACTGCCAAGGGATCTTTTACGTGCACGCCAATATGTACACGGGACCTCAGTTTTTCGTCCCATCCGAACGAATAGACAGCTGTCCTTGTCAGGCACATGTAGCGAGTGTCGCTAGGATACGTAATGGAATGGGGATTAACGTCCGACTATTCAGTGTCGACGATTCTTTCACGAACTCACCGACGTGCACACTGGACCATGGTTTATCGCTCCACCCAAAGGACCAGACACTAGTCTTTTAAAAAGTCTATTTTCTAGCTAGAGTAAAGAGCCACGCCTCCGGTTCCGGCCCATTCACGGAAAATCGCGTGCCCTTCGTTCTTTAAAATTACGTTGGCTGCATTTTAATTGACTGACATTTCGGAAAGTACACATTTTTAGCAAAGAAATATATATATACATAAAATATATATACAACTGATTTAATACGGTTCTAACTATTTTTGTGTCAGACTTTTGCCATGTATACTAAATAATTTTCTCCGTTTTTTGTTTATGTCTTTTTGTATGGATTAATGTGTTGTAATTGTTGTAATTTTATATTAGTTGTACTTATGTAAAGCGCCTGTGAGCAGTTCGCTGAGTTGAATTGTTGGCGCTATATAAATCAATTATTATTATTTAAACCTTACTGCCATCTTTTTCATTCTATATTTAATAAGAAAACATGGATTTATATTGTCGGAGAAAACAGCGCCATGTTACGTGAACCTTCAATCTGATTAAAATACAGATCTATATTTCGTTTCGTTTTTTTATACTTTCGATGGCCGACATTACATGAAGATCTGACAAGTTGTAGCGATAGGTCGCGTCAGAGGTCATGCGAGCGGCTTTTGACTTATGTCAGACATTTGATTAACCAATCAGCATTGATGTTTCAAGTGGATTACCCACAGTTCCGTGCAAAACACGCCTAAAGCTCGCTGTAACAGACCGTTTCATAGGATAATCCCCCACACCATCCAGAACACGTCAATGATAACAACTATTCCACATCCTAGTGTAGTAAAGACAAGTAAAACGAAATTTTGAACTATAAAAAACGAAACGAAATAGGATCTGTGTTTTAATCAGATTGGAGATCTAACAACGCCCTGTTTATACGTCATAACGACGACATACTCTGATTAGTTGACGTCATGTGTGTACGTCATACTGATTTACGCCATGTATAGGTTCATTAATCCTTCTAGCGGGAGACTACACTTTTAATATGTTAATTATTGTGAATGACAGAAAAATTATGTACTCACCCGTATTTAGAGTAAAATAATCCACATTGGGTTTGATATTCGTAACACTGAAAGCTAGGACGTCTGTAGCCTGGTCATTTATGACATAAGCCATAACGTTCCAAACACGTGCGCCAATCACCGCTGACGCCTTTAAAGTTACGTTTACTGTCTTCGTTACTAAAATGATTAATTAATTTTTTAATCATTCTATATTGGTTGGTAGATTTAAAGATTTTGATGTACGTGTATAGTGACAGTGGGGTATGATGGTGTATTTAATTAAATCAGGGGTGGGCAGGTGGGGTTGGGGTCGTCTAAAATAGGAATGGAATAAAAAAATTGTCGTAAAAGATGTTCGTCTAAAAAAAAGAGTTGACATATCAAATGTAAAGGGTGCGGGAAGTATCAATAAATGGTCGTCCCCTCAAAAAAACCGGTCGTCTAAATGTGGATTGGACTTACAAAACGGTCGTCTAAAAGAGGACTGGACTTAAAAAACGGTCGTCTAAAAGAGGGCTGGACTTACAAAACGGTCTTCTAAAAGAGGGCTGGACTTACCAAACGATCGTCTAAAATAGGGTAGTTTAAAAGAGGGCTGGACTTACCAAATGATCGTCTAAAAAAGGGTTGTTTAAAAGAGGGCTGGACTTGCCAAATGATCGTTTAAAATAGGGTTGGACTTACCAAACGATGGTTTAAAAGAGGGTTTAGTATTGGAGGAGACGTGAACAGTAACAAAAACGGTGTTGGTCTGGGTGTTGGTAGCATCAGCTGGATCCGTACAATTAGTGAAGAGTTGATAGCTCGCTATACGAGTTGCGTCTAATTTAATCGGCGAATTAGCATTAAATCTTATGCAATTATCTGAAACGAAATAGCGAATCAACATTAAATTCCATGGTAATATCTGAAACGAAATAGTGAATCGATATTGAATATTGTGGTAATGTCTGAAACGAAACGGCACAACAACGACACGAAAGAAGAAATTGTCAACAGACTCGGTCGTAGAAAATTCGGTTTGAACCGACCAGAAGGACATATTTGTCGATGGGAAATGAAATAAAATGAAATGGTTTATCGCTTTATTTGTCTACATCGACCGCGCTAATAAAGACGGACATGCGTAATGCATTGCATAAAGACGGACATAAGGGAAATTTAGTCATGCTTGTTGTGCTCCGTCTACTCTTTCATGGAATTCCAACTGCCAAGGATTGTTTTACCCATACACCAATGTAAAGATGGAGAATAAAAGGAAACGAGCTATTAAACATACATTATGCAAGAGCTAAATCTGTCTATTGCAGGTCTCTCTTTAGGCCAGAAATGTTATCTAAATTATTAATTACACATTAATTAACTTATCAAGACCATAATCAACTCTTGATGGCATCGCTAACCTGCGATCTTTAGTGGATTATGAGCCGATTTACTGCATAACTTTCCTTCACGATTTAACGATTAAATGGATAATCGAGACTATGCTGTTTATCGTACTGACTTTAGTAATGATGATCATAGTGGATGAATGTTACTGAAATTTTAAGCAAATTGCCTTTACATTATCTAGTTTTTAACTACTATAGTGAGAACTGCCAACTCGTTATCGAATCTCCCATAATGTGTCTTTAATTAGATTGAACTGTGGTATCAATATAAGTCTACTTACTGGCTAAACACTCGTTACTTGAACCAACAATAATAAACGGGGAACCACCGACTATACTGGTATATGTCTGCCCACCGGAAGTCATTATGATAATTCTACTGATTCTACAACTCAATGGATTGATGGTCGTTTCTATTCTTGCTACAACAATATCCTCACTCTGAGTCTCGACGATAAAATCCAATGTTGGCTTGACACTGATTTCAAACTGTAAATAACAGTACAAAAACATAAAAAAAACAAAAATTACAAATGAAATAATGAAAAGGGGTTTAGGGTCCTATGAACTTTCTCTTTCAACGCCTTGACAGAACGACTAAACACTTTTACTTGCTCGATCTCCGTCCAGTACCGCTAACAAGAGATAAAAACACGCTTATAAAGGTTAAAACAGGGGTCGAGCCCTCTTTCACCCCAACCCTCCCCCACCACTACGACTCCCCTAAACATACTGCACGTGAGTATTAAATATTAAATTCCACTCTATCCAAATTACGTCATTTTAGGACTAACATAGTTACCTTAATAATTTGCTCGCGCGCAGGGGTCTTTAGCAGTGGGAGGAAACCGGAGAACGGGAGATGTACAGAAAAATACTAATGATTGTCACGTAGAAGCCCGGGATCAAAGCCAATCACTGCAACCTTGGCATTATCTATAGTTTTCAATACAGACAAATCAACAGAATATTCAATGAGAATTTTAATTTTGACTTAAATCAGATATTTTTTGTCAATTTAAATTTAAATAAAGTAATACTAACGGCTTGTGCAGTTATTATAACCAATAATAACACGTGTATTATATTCATTAAACCCATTCTTCTCCTCTTTAATATCACTTCAAAAACTCAATTTTTCAATATTTATAATATCACTTCACATAACGTTACAAAACCACGACCAATATTTATAATATCACTTCACGTAACGTTACAAAAACCCGATCAATATTTATAATATCCCTTGACGTAACGTTCCAAAAACACGTTCAATATATAATATCACTTCACGTAACGTTACAAAAACACGATGAAAGTTAACACAATTTCAGTATACCAACAATCACTTTGTCAACAATTGAAACTATATTTATGTTAATGATTCGTAATTTCTTACACACAGAAAATTAAATATTTCTCTTATCCAGGAAATCCCCGTCACCAAACAATTATTTAGAACTATCTATTTCTAATATTTGGAACTTTTTCTTTGTACATTAGTCTTCACAGAAACTGAAATGTGTTCCGAGAATTCCGTCTCCACACAACTTGCCTTTACAAATTAAAATACAAGATGGCGGATTGGCTAGTTATAAATTTATTACATATTGAATAAAAGGGACATCTCGCTTGTTAAAAAAAACCCCCAACATTTTCACGTTAGTCGTTAGTTCGACATTAAAGGGGAGATCTTACTTTATTACCCAATAACACAATCTACAGTAGATATCGCGCGCGCGAGAGAGAGAAATGGGGTTTAACGTCCACTC